ACACACACACACACACACACACACACACACACACACACACACACACACCAAACAGATAACAGATTGCTGGTTGGCTCTGTGTTCTCCCTCCCTTCCATGTGTGTATGTGCATGTGGAGGCCAGAGGCTGACGGTGGGCATCTTCCTTAATCATGCTCCACTTTATTTCTTTGAGAGCTTCGAATATGGAGCTCACTGATTCGGCTACACTAGCTGGTCGACAAGTCTCTGGGATCTCCTTCTCTTTGCCTCCCCAGTGCCGGGAGTACAGGTAGGCACCCCTGCACATGGCTTTTTATGTGGATGCTGGGGATCACCCCCAGGTCCTCAGCTGGTGCAGAAATCACTTTCCCAGCTGAGCCATGTCCCCAGACCCTACACCTTTCCTTCTCATTGCAAACTGGAAACTAGCACTTTGGATCTAGCCAGAGATGCTCTAAGTGCAGGTGGACTTGGGTTGAGCCCCTTTCTTGCGTGGATGCCTCCAAGTGGTTTTAAACATCACGGTGCTGTAGTTCCATCCTTTGTAGAATTTCTAGCTATAGCCAAATACCTACTTTTGGATGGTAACATGTCCTTCTAAAATTGAGAGCTGCACGGGAACAATGCATCAAAAGATCATGGCAAAGTTTAGCACAGGGCCAGGTGTGTAGAGTAAAATATGAATATTAATATTGTTACGCACCTGTGAGTTTCATTAGCATAAAATGAAACTCATTTATACACCTCCCCCCCGCCCCCCCCGCCCCCGGTATATCTCCTGGACTTCAAAGGTGGCAGTGACTCCAGGATCCCGACAGCGGCTCTGGCACTCCCAGAGGCACTCTGCCACCAGAGGACTAAAAGGTTTTGTCTAAGGATTGAAGACTGGAGCCAGGGTGCCCTGCGTCTCCCCGCTTTGCTTTCACCTCCATAGTTTTTCTTCCCGCAGCCAGAGTGCAGGGAAGCAGGTGGCAGCTGGCCTTCCCTGGGAATGCCCAGCAAGGGCTGGAGAGGTGTCAGGAGGAATCGATTTGTTTGGATTTGTTCTACAGCCTCCAAGGCAGAGCAGAGGTGGAGCTGTATGGCTCCTCCCTGTATTAGGTTTGAATTCTGTCCAATGGGGCCTATGCTTTGCAATTTGCCTCAACCCAGGCCAGAGCTGCTGAGAGAATGGGTGTGATCACCCTACTCTATCTCCTCCTAAGGGCCTAGCTGATTTATTGGGGTGGAAGGGTGCCACTGCATTTTCTGGTAGGCCTCCTCCCACAATCCCAGCAGGCCAACAGTTCCTTCACTTTGTCCCCAGTTACCAGAAAGTGGCCCGAGGCAGGCTGATGGTCTCTCCCCTCCTCTATTATTTCCCCCTGCCTCGCTTCATTTTTTCCAGCCCTCTAGAGCTGGACTTCCTTGGCCGTCCATTTTCCGTGGGCTGCCTGGTCTTTGCCAGAAAACTCCTTTTACTTACCTCCCTGCCAACCACCAGGGGCCATCTGTTCCCACCCAGAAAAGAACAGATAGGGCTGGAGTTACACCCCCCTCTCCTCCGTCTAGCCACAGCTACTATAAAGAAAGAGAATAGGGAGAGAGGAGGAGGGGCCAGCCCAGAACTAGAAGGCGGCACAGGGAAGGAGAGGGAGAAAGAAAACAAAAGAAGAGGACACAGCTTTTGGGAGAAGAGATCACAAAGAATAGGTAGAAATGAACGCGACTGTGCCATAGAGTAGGTTGGAGATCTCTGCCTGGCAAACCTCCTCTCCCTGGCGGACTCACCGACGTGGCAATGGCCATGGCTCTGGCCTCCAGCGTTGCCTGCTTCAGACCAGGCTCAGTTTCACTGACTTCAGCGATGGCTGCCCCTCACCATGGTTCCCGGCCTCCAAGCCAGAAGGTCACCCCCAAGCTGTGTCGCTTGAAGAGTTGCTTCCCCCAAAGTTGGAGGAAGAGAAAGAAAACCCACGAAACTTTCCAAAAGGGAGGCAGCTTGGCCAGGCAGGAGGAGGAATGGGGCGGGCCTGGGCGTCGCTACGGGACCTCATCCAAGGGGCGCGCTCTAAACTGTCCCCAGGGTCTCCCGGGGGGCACTAGGCCCCCCACGGCTGTGGCCTTAGACTGCGGACGCCTCTTGGACACACATGGGCCCAAAGCTCACGTCCCAGGCCGGAGAGGCAAGGAGGCAGAAGCAGCTGCTGCTTTCGACGCCTCTCCAGGCAGCTCAGGCTAGCCCCGAAGGCTGGGAGAAGCTGCCCGAGTGGTTGGGCAGGACGAACGACTCCTGGGGCCAACCCTCCCCCAGCGGCAGAGCGGTGCTCCCAGGACTGTGGTCGCGGCCGCCGGGGCACTGCGGCGGGACCCGCGGGGAAGGAGGAGGAGCGAGAACTGAACTGTGAGGCTCCCAATGGCTCAAGTCAGAGCAAAGGCAGGCCGCAGCCGAAGGCCTGAGAGCGCGTGGCGGTGCAGCCGGGCTTTCTGCCCAGGCCCGCGCCGAGGCGGGTTCTCTCGGCCACACTCGTTCCCAGCGCGGCCGGGGTTTTCGAGGCGGCCGCCAGCCACTTCTCGATCTCGGAGCCCAAGGGCGCGCGCCACCCTTTGCCCCGGGACACCCAGTCCCCGCTCACATTCCCTGGATCCGGCCCTTGGCGCTCCCCTTATCCCCCAAAGCTTAGGGACGCTCCTGGTATCTGGGGAGCGAAGAAAAAGGCCACAGAGGCAAGGGAGCAGTGAAGGGGAGGAGCAGCTCTGTGGGCTCGCCCCGGGTCTGGGTGCGCACACTGAGGGGTAGAAGAGGTCCCGGGTCGCGCGTGGCCCCGCTCACCCCTCCCACACCGCGCCCCTTCTCTCCCGAGCCCGGGCTCCCTCTCCCCCTCCGCAAGCTCTCTCTCTTCCCCCCACCCCCATTCGGGCCCACCCCTCCCGCGAGGGGCTCAGTCCAGGGGATTAAGGGGGGGGGAGGGGAAGCTGCGGAGAAGGGGGACGATCCTTTCCTAGACGGTGTTGAGTTTCAGCTCCCGACCCTCGGGCCAAATGGCACGCCCCAGCCCGGCCCCTCTTGCCCGCACCTTCTTCCTGGGGACCGCGCGGCCGACCGGCGGGTGGTCTTGTGCGCGCTCGGGGGAGCTCGGCTCTGCCCGCCACGCCCCCGCTCTCCCCCCTCCAGCCTCACGCCTCTCCCTGCCTCCCTTTCATTAGCCCCACATCTGTCCGTCCCGAGGGAGGGAACGCGCTTGCTTCCGGCGCGCTGGGGTCCAGGCGTTTTCACCGAGCTGACTTTGCAGGGGGTGGCGGGGGGCGAGCCGGGGAGGTCCAGCCGGGCCCAGGCTTGGAGTCTGGTGTGTTGGACAAAGATCCTAGCCCTTGAGAGAGGAGAGAGGACGTGAAGCCTGAGCGTCTGGCCCCAGATCGCGGGGTGTCGGGTTGCGCCGCCCTTTAGCCTCCTTTGCCAGTCTGGGCCTGTTTCTCTTCAGGTTGACTCTTGCTGCTTCTGGAGCAGTTAGGGTGGAGAGCGTGGGCCGAAGAGGGCAGAACTCTTTTAGAGGGCCTGGAATCGGGAGTTTCAGCTCTTTGCTTCCTAAACTCCTCCTACCTGTCTCCCTCCAGTCACCCCGCTTCGCTGGCCCTTAACTTTGTGAAGATACACAGCAGAGCTTCTTGGAGGATTGAGAGAGTTGTCTTCTTCCATTGAGGGTGGGGTGTTCCTGGTGTTTGGAAAGCAGGCTGCTAAACAGGTGGAAAGCTGCAGTGTATTTCCAGTGTCTAAGTTTAACAAATGGACGCTTAAAGCACAAAATAGCGAGTTTAGTCGCAACCTTTTTAGGAAAGAACATCTGAAGTCCTATTTAAGGACCTTTGTGAACTGGTGGCTTTGAGACTACTCTTTGTCACATTGCTGGTATCATAGCCTTACCCACAGGCATTTCCCAGGACCACCTGTAGGGAGAGTGTTTGCCCCAGACCTTCCCCACCTTACTCCCTGGAAGCCTCTGCAGAGGGGAGAGGCGCCACTTAGATGACTTGGTGACGTTATGACTTGGTGACGTTTCTGGACGAACACAGGATGCATGGTGCTGGTTCTGGGCTCGGCTGGAGTGCAGAACTCATCCACTGGCTGGACACCTTGAACATACTCAGACTCCGTTAGAACGAAAAGGAACCTTAAAGTGTCTCGGTACATCTGAAGTGAGAGTTCTCCTACCTCAGTTCCAGTTTGGCTGGAGGTGCTCACTAGGGAAGACTTTCTGTCCTCCAGACTCCAGTTCTGGGGGAGATGATCTGGTTCGGCTGCCTTGGCACTGCTGGGGAGTGACTCGGTATGACCCCTACCCAGGGTCACCAGTACAAAACAAAGACGGGCAGGGCACTTTGGTCCCCAGACATAAGTGCTCTGATGGGCACAGAGAAATAGATGCAGGCCTGAAGCTAAGTAGAAAGGATGTGAATGGTCCAGGCAAGGTGATAATCTGACCAATGGGCGGGGCTCTCAGGGCCTCAGAAACAATACAGGTAAGGGGCAGCTTCTGTATTGGGAGTAAGTCCTGGCTTACTAGCTATGTTACCTTGGAGTTTTCATTCCGCCTTGCTTTGGTGAGAAGAACACAGATGGAAAGAGCCCAGCACGTTGCTTTTTTTCACAGGGTTCCTCCTCCCTCTGACAGGGCTTTCATGAAAACAGGATGTTCTTAGTTGAGGGGGTAGGAGCCTAGATCCATATACCCTTTCTTCTGCCCTCTCTTTTAATGTTGAAGGCACTCAGTTACTCATACTCGGAAGAGTTCTGGCTTCAGGGTGCAGATGGAGGAGAAAACTCAGGAGCTGGTACCTTGCGGAGAGCAGCCTCCTGTCGTCCTATGCCACGGATTGCCCTGGCTCCATCTTTTAAGGAGTAGTAAGGAAGGAACTCTTTTCTGTCTTCCCGGGCCTCCATCTTCTCTCATTCTCTTCCCTCCTCTCAGCAGGGTCCTTTTCCCACCCATATGTTCCACCTCCTCTCACCTCACTCCATCACCCCTAGTTTTCCATTCCCTATGTCCTATGTGCTTCTGAAATGTGTCAAACCCTTACCCACCTCTAGGAGTCTGATTAAGCTATCCTTTCTCCAGACCCTTCCCGTCATCGTGCCAAAAAGGCGTTCCCACTTAGAGTGGCCTTCCCACCCCCTCCAGTCCCCACAACAACTCTGTGCCCTCCCTGGGCCTTAACACCGTTTCCTTTTCTTCCCCACACTCTCTGTTATAGTCCGAATGTAGCTTTTTCTTTGTCCTTCATCTGTCTCCTAGACTGTAAGCCTCAGGAGGAAGAGGCACACTAACGCTTAGAATGTCAGTGCCTGGTGTGTAGTGGGCGCTTAATAAATATTTGGTAAGTGGATGGATGGACATAGAGGCTATGAATCTAGGGCAGAATTGGGTTATCCTTGGAAAGGTGCCTCTCCTGGGCCCTTGCAGTCTTCATCTGCTAGCTCCATGTGTTTTCCAGATCAAACTGGGTTCTCCTTGAAGGTAGTCTCCTGCGCTTAATTGTTCTGTAGTTAACAACTGTATTAAAAAACAATTAGCGGGCTGGAGAGATGGCTCAGTGGTCAAGAGCACATACTGTTCTTCCTGAGGACCTGAGTTCAATTCCCAGTACCCACATCAGGTAACTTACAACTGCCTGTAACCCGCAGCTCCAGGGGGATCTCACACCTCTGACTTCTGTGGGCACCTACATTCATGTGCCTATCCCCCATCCCTCATACTAACAATTGAAATAATAAAAATAAATCTCTAAAAATGATTAGCATCGAGGGTCATTATTACCTACAAATCGGAATGTGGGAATACCATTCCAGAAGTCTCCGCCTTTGCCATTGCTAGGTCCCTGGCAGAGTGTGATGAGGATGCCCCATTGCCAAGAGCAGCACCTGCTTAGCAGCAGGCCGATGAGGACCTCAATATCCTAATATCTCATGTCCTAGCTTCTTAGAAGGTGAGTGAAAAGGAGCTGAGTCCCGTGGCTGCTGCACTGTCTTAGGACCTTAGGTCCAGGCCAACTAATCTTGGTATCTCTAAGGTCACTCACGTCAATGTCACCTTTCCCCCCAGGGATGCATACAATATAACACATACACTCTTACCAATGAGGAAGGATGCGTAGAAGGAGCATCCAAGGTCATGAACACACTAAAATTTCAAGGCAACAGATAGGGGCCTGAGTACCCTTTTAATAAACTTTAGAGTAGTTGTATTCGAACTCACCACAAGCCTCCAGAGCTTTCTCAAGCAGAGGATAAAAGATGTAGTTCATCACGTTCTCCCCGCCCTTTCCTGGTAGGTGCTTACCTCTTTTTCCAGGCGTACAGGGGTAGAAATTCCAGCCCTGTTTGGCTACCTGGTCAGGCCCAGGCAAGTAGGGACACGTTGGGAGGGTACTCCTTATGTCAGATGTTGGGCCAACCTTTCTTTGCTCCCGCCTCCAGGATTCTCCCCACTGCCACCCCCACACCCCCAAGGATTCCCTGGAAGCTGAAATGACTCAGGGATTCCAAAACTAGTCACCCCAGGAGGAAACCCTCTGGAAAATGTTTCTCATGGCCGGGAGTCACCCTAAAGACTCCCACAAAGCTACTAATGAGATAAGGACAGAGGCTGAGCAAGCAGGGTGGGGTGGGGGCCTGTGGCTCAGAGAATAGGTTCATGGGTCAGCTTGGTCATCACGTATGGGGAAAGCCAACCCTGGGGAAGACCGTGTACTTAGAGGGATATCCCATTTGCCTTCCAGAGGTTTCCTCTGGCCTGAGCTACAGAGCCAGAGAGAGAGAGAGACCCCAAATGCCTCTTGTGAAGAACAATGTCCCAGTCACCCAGGCCAGTTCCATTCTGCAGTGTCAGCAGCAAAGACAAGAAGTTGGGATCATTTTTAGTGCCTGAGAGCGCCCCCTTGTGCGCCGGTCAAGCTCTGCTTCCCAGGGTGCGGCTGGAGGAGACCTGTAGGAATCCCGCTCTCTGAAACAGCACTGCTAGCTAAAGGACCCTACTCTGGGCTTAGGGTTGCTAGGAAACACTACAAGCCCTCTGAGGCCATGTGCCAGACAAAAGGCTGGGGAACAGGAAGCTGGAACAATGGATCCCAGCCACCAGGGCTGAACGCCAAAGCGGGCAGGAATGCCCTGTGGTCTTGGGCAGGTGCAAATAAAACATGTCCAACGCAAGTGAACAGGTACACATTCCCCTCCATCCACTGTCAGCTGAGGAGTGGCTCATGCTAGGAGCTTAGGTTCGGAGTTATTGAGGGCTGGAATTGAAAACCAGCTCAGTCTTTCTAAGTGCATAACCTTGGGTAGATTATTAAATTTTGTTGGGTCTCACTTTCTCCATCTGTAATATGAGGATTATGGTTTTTCTTGCCACAGTTTTATTATCAGGACATAATAAGATGTTGTGCTTGGGGCTCAGTACCATGTCTGGCACACTCAAGTGCGTAGGAGCAAGGCAAGGCCAGAAGCGTATATAGGGAGACGGCGTCCGGAACCACTGGTGCAAGGGTGGGAGCTTCAGGGTAAGGGTGGGCATGGGTGTCAGCTGAAGCTATTCCTGGTCGTATTGCTCTCCCTAAGTGTCCTAACCCTAGCCACCAATGGTTTCTCCTCAGTGCCTTCCACTGTTTCAGGGCCCTAAGAGTCTCCAACGCTGTTTCTTCCAACTCTTGAGAATGTTCTCTGTTGTCATGACACCTCTCCTTTTAGACTGTTTTGTCCTACGGCATCTGAAAGAGTGGTTCTTTATGGTACACAATATTCCTGGTTCCCATTGTTTACTTTCTGGTCCCTTGGTT